TGGATTGGAGTCAGGTACTTTAAAATATCGACTACAGTTACATGATTCTTACAGTATATTTCATAGTTAAATAACCGTACTTAAATATAGTTGCTGAATCCTAAACTAAATTCAAGTATCAGTACTTAATTGATTCAGAACAAAAAGAAACATAATAAATATGAAATAAATTTTGAAAGCTTAATATAAATGGTGGAGGTATCAATTAACAGCTAAAAAGTCATTGATCCTGACAAAAAAGTTCAGTGGTTGTTCAGATAGATTTTTATAATGTAGGTTAAAAAACTGGAATAAAAGAATGTGAACTATCCAGTGGGATCTGTATCAACTTTTGCTGCTTCAGATACTAAATATGTGTATAACAACTCTTTACTACTTGATGATTTTTATTAGTCAAATTTCTAACAAGTTTCCTAGAGAACAAAACAAATCTTATTTTTAAAAGGACACATATTGTTATTGCTCAATTTATCCTGTATCATTTTTCTCATGAAACGTTTAAAAATCTGAGTTTTAAGAGCCAGAGAATGGAGGGTTAACTGAGTATAGACCCAAGAATAGTCCCCAGCACCTCCAGTTGTAGCCCAATTTTTGCTCCCCTCAAAAATCTGGGGTTTCTTTTACTATGAAAATGATCTGACCATGCTATGGAAAGGTGAACTTCATGAAATGCCAGGGACAACTAGGGTGAGTAAGCAGATGTTAAGAAGGTGCATTTTGACTTATGCATGAGGCTTTCTAAAGGGGTAGATTTTGAGGTGAATATATGCCTTGGGGAAATATTCAAACACAGTATGTACCATCATTTGGATGCTGAAAAACCAACTGAAGCATTATTTGCTGAGCACCTACCAAATGCCTATGTTCTGTGCTATGGAACGGGGATCCTGCTAAGTGAGACAGACAAGGTCTTATCAAACTCATCAAACAGTGACAGATGCAGAGACAGTAAACAGATAATTAAATCAATAAAAAATTAAACAAAGCAACTGCTAATTACAATCATTTAATGAAAATAAGATGGGCGGGAAAGGGAGTTCGACTGACTGTGGAGGTGACATTTGTCAGGTGAGATTAAAAAAAGCCTTCAGCTGAGAACTGTGCGAGGACTGTGTTAGCCACGTCAACAGTTTGGAGGAGGCGGAGAGGAGGAAGCACCTGAGTGATGGGAGTTTGAGGCTGTGAGTAGATAGAGCTGTACCTCACACAGCCTTGTGGACTGAGAGAAAAGACTTTGTTAAAGATAATGAGATATCACTGAAAAACTTGAACATGCCATCCATCTCTTATGATTTGTATATTTTTAAACAGAAAGTGTATGAAAAAAATTTAAATGCCTATCTAAGCCAATTCACTCACTTGGCTAAAACTTGTCTTATTGTACAAGTTAAGACAATTATGGACCATGTTTATTGCTATTTTATTTAGCAGTAAGAATTCTACTCCAAGTTTTTAATGGTTTTAAACAGTATTAAACAGTATTTTTAAAGCAGTATTAAAAAGTATTAAATTCAATAGTATTAAACAGTTTCAATAGCACTGGGGTGGTGGGAGGGGGAGAAACAACTATTTCTAGTTTAGCCCTCTTCATTTTTGCATCTTTTCCAGAGTGTAGCCTGTTTCCGCACTGATCTGATCTACCTGCTCACCCTCTTCCACACCAGTCAAGTTCCTTCCAAAACTTCCATTTGGTCAGCAATTCCATCCTTGACTATTGATGGAGCTCCTTTTCTTGATTCCAACTCAGTTTGCCTCATAATGGAGGGTCTGTCTTCTTTTTTTTCTCCATTGACTGTCCTTTTGTAGCAAAACCTTGGCCTGGACTCAAGTCCATTTTCTCCCTTACATTCCATGAAACTATAGTCTCCTTGAGAACCAGGATTCTATCTTGCTCTCTATTTTATCTCTTTATTCACCACAATGTTTGGCATCTCTGATTGTTAAGTCTTCAAAAAGTACTGTTGAATAAATGAATATTCTGAACTTGGGGGCAGCTTGCATAGACGTGTGGTCCTCCCAGACAGTGACTTGGCTCTCTGTATTCAGTTCAATCATTATTCTCCCAACAAAATTGTAAGATAATGCTCAGTGCCAGTTAGATACTCCCAACCATGTTACCATAGATTGAAATATGCCTACTCCCAACCCCCTTTAATCAGTCAGGACACAAACTGGGTACTGTCCTCCTGAACTGTGGCCCCTGAATTAACAACCCAGAAAAAGTAAATATGAAGATAATCCATAGAATCAGGGAAGTAACAGCTCACATTCACTGTGCAAGATTCCCTGTGAGGCTTCACACTAAATGCTTTGCAGGCCTCATGTCCTGTAATCCTCATTCAATCCTATGTAGAAAATAATATCTTCCAGATCAGAACTCCACTGAATAGATTAGAACACTGAGACTTAGAGAGTCTAAGTAATTTGTTCAGGATCACACAGGTAATAAGTTGAACTGAGATTTTTGATATTCTTCTGAATGTGAAATTTTTACATGAATACTTTTATAACATAAGACATACAGCAATATATTAACATACTGAAATATCAGAAAAGGCATAATTTAATTGATAATGGCAAATGAATTCTATAACAGAATTTTGTTGTATAATTGGGCAGACTTTAATAATCCTGTCACACAATTTTACTCCTCACTTCCAAAACAATCCTATCTCATTATCTTTACCTATCACATCAAAGCATATTTGAGTTTTTCATATTGATAAAAACATCTTATTTTAATAAAAGAAACTGTGAAGATTTGAATTTAATAACTGTGAAGATTTTTAAACTAATAGATTTTAAATTCCTCAAAATAAGGATATGAGAATAATCTAAACATTCTCATATATAACTGAAATGTATAGGAGATAAAATGACTCAGTTTTAAAAACTACACTTCTTATAAAAGGTTTCTGAAAGCAAGGCCCATTGAGTTATAGTTCTTAAGTGCCCCAAATAGATATTCTGATTTCCAAATTAACATCAAAGCACTTGATGGTTCTTTTTTGTTTGTTTGTTTGTTTGTTTAAAAAGAGACTACCTGGGGCTGGAGCAATAGCACAGCAGGTAGGGCATTTGCCTTGCACACAGCCGTCCTGGGTTCAATTCCCAGCATCCCATATGGTCCCCTGAGCACCTCCAGCGGTGATCCCTGAGTGCAGAGCCAGGAGGAACCCCTGGGCATCGCCAGGTGTGACCCAAAAAGCAAAAAAGAAAAATAAATAAAATTTAAAAAAATAGAAAGAGACTACCTTAAAAAAAATACTGGATTCTCTAATGTTGTCTGAAAAAAAAATAATCCTTAGGTACTTAAAAATGACAGAATTACAACCCAGTGCACAAACTTAATACAAGAAGAAACTCCAGATAGTCTCATTGAAAAATAATGAAATAATTTTTTAAAGGAATTCTGGTTTTGACATTTATACACATTGTCCTAAGCATATTGTGAGACACTAGTCTTGAAAAATTTGCTGTGACAAACTAATTAGCAAATCTCCAGATAATGAAATCTCTAATTCTTCCTCATTGACTGCATTTCAATTTGTAGTATACACTGCTTTTAATCTGTTAATTTTTTTATTCACCCATTCAACAAAAACCTACTAAAGGCTTATGAGGTGACAAGATCTATGTTGGGAATTGTATTCTCAAGAGAACTACCCTATTTATTTTTATCACAGATGGTTTCATTAAATATTATAAGTTATGCTAAATTCTTGTAATAATATGAAATAGAAAATAATCCAGTTTATGCAAATTTTAATGAGAATTAAAAATAAATTTTGACGGTTGTGATACATGCATGGTCTCTAGAAAATAATCATATGCAATTTCTTTCACAGGGGTTATTATATAAATTAAATAAATCTAAATTTTATATAAGGATAAATCAAGAATAGAATTTTAAAATAACAACTTTAAAAATTATTATATTATGACTCAATGCTGAATTATCTTTGAAAACAGACTTAAGAGCTTTTTTTAGCTAGAATACTTTAAAAGTAGATCATCATTGGAAACAAGTCATTCTGGTTTTACTTTATTTCCCTAAATAGTAATAAGCCATTCTCTATTTGTAGTTAAAAGACAACAAATGAATTTTATGTCACCCATGATATACATTTCTGTGATGTCCTAGAATAGTTCCCTTAGTAGTAATACTATCATTATAAGTGCATCTCATTTTAACAGCAATTGAGCACCTCTAACATGCAGAAACTACAAACTAAATGATTAACATATAGGTATAGCAGAGACTGACACAAAACTACTATGACCCTAACCTGATCCACAATCTATTTTTGCAAATACAGTTTTATTGGAACACAGCCTGGTCCACTTGTATACATACTATCTAGAGCTGCTTTTTTGAATTTTTGGGGGGTTGAGTAGAGTCTCCCAAGTACTGTACAGGGGACATAAGTGGCACTACACTTGACCAACTAGAGACAATTCAATATGAGAGTCTGAGGATTCAGTACTGCTCAAACCCTGCAATGCTGAGGACTACCAGGGACATCCTGACTTTTACGTAAATTTATTTAGGATTTTCTATACCAATTTTGCATAGCAACTCAAACGTTTAATGAAGTAATTAAGAGAGGCTGATTTACTAACACTTAGCTCTTCTTAGGCTTGCTGCCAGGAGTTCGTGGACACACCATAAGTAGGATATATGTTATACATCTGAGTATATGATGTATGCATAAGCCGTCCTTGCTGAATATACACTAGTATACACAAGCTGTCTTTGCTGAGTTTATGGGCCACTCGGTGATTCCCCAAGTTAACAAGCATTCCAAGTATTATCCCAAGCCACTAAGTAAATGTGCACCCAAAGTATAAAACCTTCCTTTCATTTAGGAGATGGAGATTGCAGTCTGTGTCTAATTACTGCTGTAGAAAATACTGTGACTTTCTATATACTAGAAACATCGTGGCTTATGAACTGAACATGACCATAAAAGTTTGGAAAAGAAAAGTTGATGTCTTACCTGTATGTTGTTCTTCAATCCAGATCTGCAAATACATGAAGAAGAATATCCCTGCTACTCCAAATATCAGCACTGAGAGGAACACTTGTTTGGGGTTCATGACCACTTCAAATGGCTGCATTTCTCCTCATTTCAGAAGATCACATGGTTTGTTTTTTTAGTGATATTAAATTCTTTCTTGTTGTCTTAATCAGTTGTTCCAGGAGATAACCTAAAATGTTTTTTAAAAAATTCACATTTTACCATGACAGACTTTCTTCCCAATTATGACATAAATATGCAGCATATCAATAGGCCCTAACATGAATTGTAACATCCATTAGACATAAAATTTTCTCACAGATATCCCAAAAAAGGCAATTTTCCATAAAATACTTTTTGTCTTATCTAAGGAATCTTATCTAAGGACTGTACAAGACTGGAGCGGTAGCACAGCCGATAGAGCATTTGCCTTGCACATGGCTGACCAGGCTGACCTGGCCGACCCAAGTTCCATTCCTCCATCCCTCTCAGAGAGCCTGGCAAGCCACTGAGAGTATCTCGCCTGCACAGGAAAGCCTGGCAAGCTACCGTGATGTATTTGATATGCCACACACAGTAAATAATGTCGCAACAGAGACGTTACTGGGCCCGCTTGAGCAAAACTGATGAACAGCGGGAGGACGGTGACAGTGACAGTGAAGGAATGTACAGCACTGGTGAAGGGATGGGTGTTGGAATATTCTGTGACTGAAACTAATCATGAATAGCTTTGTAAGAGTCAATCTCACAAAGATTCAATAAAAAAATTTTTAAAAAGGAATGTACATGCTCAGAGTTAATAAGTAACATCCTAATTAGGTGAAGTGTGGCTAAATTTAAGCCCTCCATATTGTAAGAACTTGGGTTCAGGTTACCTTAAAATAACTGTGAGGGGGAAATAAGACTAACATAATGAATTATTGAGAGTAGTTTTATCTGGTTCATGGAATAAAGAGAAAAAAATCACTTTGTGTCTTAAAATATCTTAGGTTCAGAAACAGAATAATGTTGATCTATTAGTCTCTTCTCATGTAAAAATAATATAATTTTCCAACTAAATGGTACATTTAAGATCCCTTAAAAGCATACAAGCACAGATATTAAAAGGTCAGACAGAGTTCAGAGTCCTCTTCAACAATACTATGGAAGCATAGAAAATTCCCTCCACTTACAAAAATCAACCATGATAGGGGCTGGAGAGATAGTACAGCAGGTAGGGCGTTTGCCTTGCACGCAGCTGACCCGGGTTCGATTCCCAGCATCCAATATGGTACCCTGAGCACCACCAGGACTGATTCATGAGTGCAGAGTCAGGAGTAACCCCTGTACATCGCCGGGTGTGACCTCCCCCCCAAAAAATCAACCATGATATGAAAGTTTTCTTTAAATAAATATTGAAAGGATTTAGTTTTAGAACAATCTCATGAGGTACAATTTTAACTTTTTATTTATTTAATAAAGATATATTTATTTACTTATAAATATTTACAATTACAATAAATATTTATTTAATAATAAAATAACATTTTACATATTTAATTCCATCAATATCAGTGGAGTACCCTGACAATAACCATTTTACTTTCTGTATTTTCTTTTTCAGATGGCACCTCCTTTCTGAGACTTTAATGAAAATGTAACTATAGAAAAAAATATATATATAAAGATCTTTGTGCACACCAAGTTTTCATAAAGTATCAGTGCATTCTTGTACTCTTACTGAAACCCAAATTAAGAATTTGTGATACTAGTGAACTACCAAGAAAATATTCAGCAGCTTGGCTGATGAGCTCATATCCTTGACAACTTGATGAACACGACCAAGGTCACAACTTTATATCCAAGGCAGGGAAAAAGAGGTAGTTTCTTTTCCTTGGCAACAGTCCACACATACTTGCTGGATAGGCTGAGTAAATGTTTCTTCACTGTGAAGACATCCCACATAGTATTATGGAAAAATTATCTTTTTGCTTCTCTAAATATTTATTAAAACCATCTCAGAGATTCCTGACTTTTATCTTTTTAAGAGGCATATGGAATGATGCTAGTTCAAAGTTTAAGACTCCTTTGGGAAATATCTATGCTGGATGATATTCTTATTCTTGGCAAAATAATATTTACACAAACACATGAATTCAAAGATAACCTAAGAAGTCAGAATAGGAGTTTGGTAGCAAGTGAACTTCATATAGGAAAAAAAGAAACCCTAACAAATAGCTAAATCTCTTCAAGAAAAAATATTTCCCAAAGTAAGTCCATGCATATTATATTTTATATAATCTATATAATATAGAATATATCAATAAAATATTCTATATAACATATTCTATATTCTATATATTATATAGAATACATATAGAATAGATACGTACACACACATTTACCAGGATAGAAAGGGCCAGAATAAGATTGTAGTGACTATCAACAATCTGAAGAATTTTCTAAAATCTTCCTCTATGAGACTCCTGAAAAAGAGACCACTGCTAACATGTTTACAATTGCTTTTAAGTTAAGTTCAAGGGCTAGAGCGATAGCACAGCGGTAGGGTGTTTGCCTTGCACGCAGCCAACATGGCCGACCCGAGTTCGGTTCCTCCGCCCCTCTCAGAGAGCCCGGCAAGCTACCGAGAGTATCTCGCCCGCACGGCAGAGCCTGGCAAGCTCCCCGTGACGTATTCGATATGCCAGACACAGTAACAACAAAGTCTCCAATGGAGATGTTACTGGGCCCGCTCGAGCAAATCGACAATCAACGGGAGGGCCTTTACCTTTACCTTTAAGTTCAAGCATTTAAAAAAATATTTTGGTGGTAGAGGAAGTTTTAAATGAAAAAAAAAAAAAGGAAACAGAGCAGTACTATTCTGCTTATTTGTTGAGTAACACAGATTCAAAACTAACATACTCTGAACTTTTCAAACATCGGCTGCAGAGCAAAGTTCCTAAGGGTATCTGTGAGTGGAAGTATTCCAAGATCAATTCTCTCATGGAAAGCTATGAAGGAAAGTCCAACTTCTCTTTTCTTGGTGCTGCAGTTAAACATTGAGCAGACATCAATTTCTGTGTCTCTGAGAAGTTTTAGAGAGGAGTCAACCAGTTAAACAAAATCTTCTACAACAAAGAAATAGTTGTTTAAAAGAAGGAAAAAAAACTGTAACAATATGTCTGCATAATTGTAACTTATCTGAGAAAAGAGAGGTTATTAAAAATGCATAAATCAGAGTGAAGACTTGAACCTGTGGAATCTCCGAGTGTGAAAGCCAAAAGAAGTACTCCTTGGAGGCTCACAAAAGAAAATTATTACCCACAATGTTGAAAAAAGATCAAGAATTTGCCCTTCTTTTCTTTGGGAGGTGTTGCTCTACTCTGACATATCCTCCTGGGTAAGGAGTCAGTAGAAAACCCATAATTGTTATTATGGCAGATATGAGTAGGATTTAATGCTGAAAGCCACAAGGCAGAAAGGCAATCTGGTGTAAAACGGAGAGATACGTTTGATATTCCCCCATCTCAGTCCATTAACCCAACATTGGCATTAGAAAATGGCTCTCATTAAACAAAGGTGAGGCGGTAGGAGCAGCGATATCGCTAGAAGCAAACCTGAAGGTCAGCGTTGATAGGAAAACACACCTATTTGGAGATCATACATTTACCGTCATGCCTGCAGAAAAAGTACAGACTACTGGAGATTGAAATTACTTGGAATAATGCTATTTCATGTATAAGCATTATACAACATTTTCATGGTCAAAGGCACCTCATATTTTATACAACTTCTTCCTCTCTTTCTGCTCATAAACACAGTGCTTTGAACCTAACGGATACTCCACAATGGGTTGCACTGGCTGAACTTGAATGTACAATAACACTATATAAGTAACTGGTGAGTGCCCTATTTTCACCTGTAAATTCTTTGTCTTAAATTCTAAGCGGAGAAATGTGGATATTCAATACTGAAAGGGGGTAAGGGGTGTGTCTGAGCAGTAAGGGCTTGGGTGAGCTAGGGTGAGGTCCTGTGTTTGATCACTGGCACCACAAAGGTAGTTCTGAAAAGCAGTCTATGCATTTTTTTGGAAAACACATATTTAGTTTTATTTGTATAGTCTATAGATTTATTTCAACACTTATGGAAACAAACACAAAACTAATGATCTCATTTTCAACACTATAAAGTCATTCTTCTATATCATCATGATTTCCAAAAGAATCATTTTGGGTATTAATGGAGCCAGAATACCGATCCCAACTTCCTATTTGTACTATTAGTGACATTTTTGCCCAAACCAATTGACAATTGGAGGCCCATTTATGTGAACCTTTGACACCTCATAGCCAGAGGAAGAAACAATAGAATTGGGTGAACCACTTTTATTTGTGTGTTCTTTTTGAATTTTTCAAGATAATATATGCTGCCTTCAAATGATGAAATTATATTTTCTTTTAAAAATTAAAAATATAAGTCTCACTTTTAATACTTAAAACCCCCTAGAAATTTTTCTTTGTACACATTCTCAGCTTTTCTCTATTCTATATGGATAGCATTTGCCCAGTGATATTTATTGATTAAGTTATTTATCTCTAGTTTTTATGCTGTTTTTTAGTTTAAATTGCTAAATATGTTACTGCATCTAGACATAATTCTGTTTTGTTGGTCTAAGAACATCTTAAATGTTTGTAAAATATCTGGGCCTCTTTGAGGGTTAAAAAATCAATTCAATTTTTAATGGTTATTAGGGCATCTGACTTTGTGCTAATTTTAGAAAACTATGTGTAAAACAATTATTTTAAATTTATCTTAGTGGATATAAAAACCTATCGCAAGTGTTCCACATAAAAGGAAAACAGGTATTCTACCACAGAAAAGAGAAGATTTTCTCATTACATCAAAGATCTGATGATGGTAAGCTGCTGGTTTTGGAGAAGGTAAGGGTTGCTAAGTCAAAGACAGGAACACAGACTCAGAAGCCAGGGATGACAAAAAAATCTCCCTGAGAGCCCCTAAACAGTAACAACACCTTGGTTTGGGGCCACTGTAATTGATTTCAGACTTCTGGCCTCCATAAGGATTAAGACAATAAATTTGTTTAATGTTAGCCACCAAATTTGTAATAATTTACTACAGCAGTCGTAAGAAACTAGCACAGGTAGAAATTTCCTCTACTTCATAAAGGGCAACTAAATAAAAAGCAATGGC